AGCAGCTATCTAAATTCAGCCAGAGACGTGAAGGTCCTTTTGTCTAGATGAACCCTATCTGTAGAAGGAAAACCATGAGCACAAACGCATGGACACAAAGCTGCTTTAGAGTGAATCATACTATTGGTCGGTCTTGTCTACTCAGACTGGCAGCGGCTCTCCTGGGTCTTCCCAGGGCAGGGGTCTTTCACACCACATCACCTATTCTCTGGTCCTTTTAACTGGAGATGCCAGGGACTGAAACTGAGACCTGGATTTTCCCAGCAGGCCTTGGGCATCTAGAGGTTTGGACTGTGGTCCCATCTGGATCATCGCCCCAAATTCAGAATATTGAGAAGGGTGGTCAAAGGATGTGCTTACATTATCTGTCATGAAACAACAAAACCGTGATTAGTGTGCCCAGCAGCTGTCTGTTCATGGTCACAGTTTCACGGGCTTGGACCAAATTATACCTTCATCCGGAGAACCAGTCTTCCTCATGGAAGAGTCAGCAGTGAGCTTCTGTGCTCAGCCAACAGGAAGTGGCCACAGGAAGTGGCGGCGGCTACAAGCATGGACGGCTTCAAAAGGGAATTAGATAAGCATATGGAGCAGAGGTCCATCAGTGGCTATTAGCCACAAGGTATAGATGGGGGCTCTGGGGCAAGTGATGCTCTGTCATCTTGGTGCTTGGAGGGGGGGCAACAGTGGGTGGGCTTCTAATGTCCTGACCCCACTGGTGGACCTCCTGATGGCACCGGGTATTTCTGGCCACTGTGTGACACAGAGTGTTGGACTGGATGGGCCTTTGGCCTGATCCAACATTGACGTCTCTTATGTTCTTAACAGAGATTTGCTCGTGTGTTTTTTTGGCTTGGACCATTGGCTACCTTTGGTGTTCCTGCTTCTCCCTGGCTCTTTCACGAATCCTTCTGGTCACCATTCAGTTCCTTGTCACTCACCTGTCAGGCATCTGTTCACCCTTTTACAGGAGACAACCGCCATGACCACCGGCTGATGTTTAGTTTTTTTTAAATCTGACTTAAGGCCAGTGTGGGGTCATAGCCATCAGAGTCAGTCTGTCTGTAGCAGCAGAAAAGAGCCAGAGTCCAGGAGCACCTTAAGGACTAGCGACATTCATGGCAGGGGAGGAGCTTTCGTGAGTCACGGCTCACTTCTTCTGTGACTGATGAGATCCAGGTTCGAATCCCCACTCTCCCGTGGAAGCTCACTGGGTGACCTCAGGCTCTCAGCCGAACCCACCACAAAGAATGATTGAGGATTGAAAAGAAACGGAGACAGGCAGGCAAACCACCCTTCCCACGCACCCCTTTTTCACGGCGGAAAGTAGAAGAAGAAATTGGATTTATACCCCGCCCTTCACTTGGAGTCTCAGAGCGGCTTACAAACTCCTTTTCCTTCCCCTCCCCACAACAGACACCCTGTGAGGTAGGTGGGGCTGAGAGAACTCTGACATAAACTGCTCTTTTTCAAGGATAGCTCTTATCAGAACTATGGCTTGCCCAAGGTCATCCAGCAGCTGCAAGTGGAGGAGTGGGGAATCAAACCCGGTTCTCCCAGATTAGAGTCTGCGCTCCTAACCACTACACCAAACTGGCTCTCAGTTACAGTTATAAGGAACAACTCATGTAGTAAAACAGCACAGAGCAAAAAACATTTACTTTAGAGTATATCTAAGCCGAGATCAAGAACTAGTTGTGGTATTTCACCCTGAGAAGTGAGATAACTCAAGTATTGGTAGCCAGGCTGTGGGAACCATGGAGTGTGCAGAGGGCCGTGAATATCGTGTTAGAGTGTCTGTAATTTCTGCCGTGACGTACAGATTCCATATATTCTGATGCCACTGTGTGAGAGTAGGAGATTTTAGAGATTTCCGATTTAGTGCTATAGTATTTCGAGCAGTACTCGTAGATCTGTCCTTACCCATCAAAGAACAAGTCTCCTTGCTATTATATGCTGCTCGAAATACTATAGCACTAAATCGGAAATCTCTAAAATCTCCTACTCTCACACAGTGGCATCAGAATATATGGAATCTGTACGTCACGGCAGAAATTACAGACACTCTAACACGATATTCACGGCCCTCTGCACACTCCATGGTTCCCACAGCCTGGCTACCAATACTTGAGTTATCTCACTTCTCAGGGTGAAATACCACAACTAGTTCTTGATCTCGGCTTAGATATACTCTAAAGTAAATGTTTTTTGCCCTATGCTGTTTTACTACATGAGTTGTTCCTTATAACTGTAACTCCCTATCTTGGTTGCAAATAATGCTATATTTACACAATGGTGCTCATAGGCTGCGGTCACACGGAGCAGTAGCCACGCTACTGCGACAGAAGATAGGCGGATTTTCCGGGCGCGATCTCACTGCCACATCTGGGAAGCGTAGAGCTCCCGTGGCAAACCCGAGGCATCCCTCCGAAGATGCGTGGTTAAAAACTAGTACCTCGGAGGTACTAGTTTCTGGAAACCGCGGGGTAAGGACGGGCGTCTGATCGCGTTTCCGGTGGCATCCGCGCCCGCCCATGCCCCATTGCGAAAAGGTGTTGTTGTTTTTTGAAGTCTCCAGGGATGCGCACAAGCACCCAACGGGGCATGCGCATACTTCAGGTTAAAAAAAACACACACACAACCCCGTTTGCTGTGCTGCTTCTTTGGCGCGTCGTGTGATCGGCACCTCCCCCCTAACCACGGGACCTCGACAGGACCACAAGGGGATGCCTGATTGCGCAGTCGCGCATTATTTTGCTGCGGGGCAAACAGCCACGCCTCCCCCACGCAATATCCGGCCCGTGTAACTGGGGCCATAGTATGTATTTTACTGTCTGAAATTCTGAAGCTATGTGTGTGTTGTCTGTATTGAGGATCTGTCAAAAACCCAATAAAAAAGCTCTGTCATTACCCCCTAACATTATTATTGTTATATTTCCTTTTGCCGTTAACTTGCACTGATTCTCTGCCTTCTGTGCCTCTTCCCTTGTTAGCCCTGAAGCTCTTTGACATGCACGGGTTTGGAAAGCTCCAGAACTTGTACGCTGTGGACATGGACAGAAACATTTGGATCCAGTGGAAGAAGCACGGCCATCCCATAATCACCGTCCATGACTACTCAGTGAAGGATCACAGGTACGTTCCTTGGGACCTCGACCTGGTGGCCGGCGACAGAGACACGGCTGTTGTCATTTCACTGGGCCAGCATTTCCGCCCCTTCCCGCTGGAGCTCTTCCTTCGGAGGATGTTAAATGTCCGTGCAGCTGTCCAGCGCCTCCTCCAGAGGAGCCCGCGAGCAAAAGTCATCATCAAAGCGGAGAACATCCGGGAGATGAGCGCAGACCCGGAGCGATTTGGAGACATCCACGGCTATGCCCAATACCTTGCGCTAAGGGATATTTTTCGGGATCTCAGAGTGGGTTTCATTGACGCGTGGGACATGAGTATCGCCTATGGCGTAAACGATGTCCACCCACAAGAGGAAGTGATTGAGAGTCAAATTAATATGTTTTTAACTTACATCTGTTGAAATGGGAGGGGAAGCAGGGCGAAAGAGAAAGTTTCAGTTTCTAGACGACACGGGACCTGGAGCTGTATTTATGCCGGGCAGCCGGACTAGTTCCTGTAACGCTCAAAGGAGCTCTGGGCTTGTGTCTTCTGAATGGAAGCCCCACCCAGACACCCCACGCTGTGTGACAAATCTCGTTTGAAAATGAAGAGCGGAATTTTTAATATTAGGGGGAGGGGAGGGGGACAGGTTGACACCGAAAGAGGATAAACATCAGAAGTTCCACTGGGCGTGCCTAAAATACCTCTTTGGATCCTCTGCCACTCTTGAAGAGTTCCTGCTGCAATCTTGGCCCCATCGTGGCCCAATAATTATTTGTCAGATCTCAAAATGGGGATGACAGTGGGAGGCAGCCTCCCTATCTTGTCATTAGGAAAAAAATATATACACTAAGGAATGTAGGGGAAAAAACTTAATAAAAAAATTAAGTTTAAAAAAGAAAAGAAAAAGAAAACCACACAGCAGCAGTGGCCACAGCTGTCGCGAACACACAACTGCTGCGGCAAAGGAGGCTGACCAAAGTGGGTAAGAGGAGAAGAGGTTGGATTTATACCCTGCCCTTCACTACCCAAGGGAGTCTCAGAGCGGCTTACAAACGCCTTTCCCTTTCCCTCCCCACAGCAGACACGCCCTGTGAGGTAGGCGGGGCTGAGGGAGCTCTTTCAAGGACTGCTCATTAGAGAACAGCTCTGACAGAACTTGTGACTGACCCAAGGTCTTCCAGCAGGTGCAAGTGGAGGAGTGGGGAATCAAACCCGGTTCTCCCAGATTAGAGTCCCCGCACTTAACCACGACACCAAACTGGCTCAAACTGACCACACCGAAAGGGTGCAGAAGAGCAAAAGGGAACGAAGAAGCCCCAACCGAAAGCAAGGAAGCGGCCATCGCAGTTTGGCAGAGTGGCTTTATTCTGTAGCAAAAGAAAGTGCTTAAATCAAACCAGAAGGGACTCTTCAACCACAAAAGGTTCTCTCAAAGCAAACAGCTGCAGAGTTTTCGAGGGCCACAGCTCAAACACGGAACAACAGTCATATCCAGGACTCTGTTGCTTTGAACCACCTCGGGGAAGCCGGGGAGCAGACGGGAGCTGTTGTCTGGGATGGGCCGGGAGGCAGACGGGGGTCTCGGACTTCTGCAAAGGAGCTAGGAGGGCCACGGGGATCAACTGGTGGGGGTCTCGTTGTCACCATTTTCCACCAGCTTCCTTTTCTTTTCATCCGTTTTCCTCTTGAAGATGCTGCCTCTGTAGAACTGAAGCTCTTTGATGCTCTCCCGGATATCGTCGAGAGCTCTAAAGAGAATTACAGAAAGGTCGTATGCAGCGTCCCCTCTAAGCTGAGTTAGTGTGAGCTAGCTCAGTTTTTTTTAGCCTACAGCTATTTAAAAAAATTTTAAATTGTATTTAGCCTCCAGCATATCTAAGGGACTGCCTCTTCCCATATACGCCTCGGAGAGCGTTACGCTCTGAAAGTCAGCATCTCCTGGCGATCCCTGGCCCAGAGGACGTCCGCCTAGCCT